CTCTTTGTTCATATACTGTACTATGATTTGGGAGGCTTTATCAAATGTTGCAATAAACTGTTCTCACTCTGTGCATAAATTTGTGTGCTTTGTGTGCCTGGGAAGTTTCCTTACAGCCAGCGCAGGGTGTGTGAGCTGCCCCAGCTCCTCCTCCAGATGCAGCCCCGTGCCTGTTCCCTGGGCTCCCTGGGCACTTCTGCTTTTGATGGTATCTCAAGACTATTTCACTCAACCTGGAGTTAGGCTGGCAGAGACTAAACATGGTTTGTTCCTGGGATTTTCTCCTGGAATTTCCTTTCAGGAATATTAGGTTATTGCACTTAGACTTCTGGATGGAGCACGTTTTGTGAAACCCAAACCTTCTTAGTTTCAGACCTCAAGCAAAGCAATCAGTGCTCTGGATCTTCATCTAACCTCTGCTCTTCCCTGCTCTTCCCTGGAGCTGTAGAAGGCTCTGGTGACTTGCATTCCTTCCTGCAAAACCAGTTTGTCCTGCCCCAGGACAGTATGATCACAACCCCATTGTGAAGACTTGTGATACATATGCCTTCTGAACTGCCTTTCCAGCTTTGGGTGGTGGGACCAGAGCTTGAAGGAAGTCTTCCCTTTCCCTTTCTTTGCCCCCTTTGTTGAAAATTTGAAAATCTGGAGCAGAGAGCAGGAGCAGTGTAATGTCCATGTGGTGCATGTGGTTTCTCAAAGCCCTCCTTCTCTCCTCTGAGAAAAATACAATACAGTTATTTATGCGTGGGAGGTTGCTTGTTTTGCTTTGGTAAAGAATGCTTGCAAATCTGCAGTAAAATAATTAGGCCAAGTTGTTTATTTAGAGGCTTTGTTTTCTATTGTGCCAAGAGAAAACGGATTAACAGCAGTTTTTAATGAGGTGTAACAGCTCTTCGCCTTGGCAGTTCTGCTTGTAATGCATATGGTGGCCCTCAGCTAATGCCCAGGCTCCAAGCAGCAGGTCCTAAACTAACCCCAGGTGCAAACTTCAAAAAATCAGCGTGATTTGCACAGGAAGATACTTTGTTCAGCAAAAGCCTTTACGTTTCTGGCAAGTTTAGTGAAGTATGGGATAACTTTGCTAGTTAGTTGCCTTTCATATATATTGGTAGTAAATCTGTCAGCTTCTTGAACTCAATTCAGTGAGAAAAAAAAAATCCATGAGTTTTAGTAAGCAATTAATTTAAATTAATTCTACGGTTCTGTTTTTAAACGGGGAATGTAATGCTTAAATGTTTTGGAAAGATTGAGGAGATTTTCCAGCAGTATTGTCCTTTTAATTAACAGTAAAGGTACAGAGGCAAGATAAATGTAATTACTCTGAGTAGGGCTTGTTTCTCTATCTCTTCTAAGTAGGTTATGTTTACTGTTCCCTATTAGTTTTGAAGCTCCAGGTGACTGGATCCTGCTGTCTTTCATAATGGTCTTCCTTGGGTTATTTTGCAGAAGATGATTAAATCAGACAGGTGTACACTGAGCAAACAGTGACAATATAATTTTCTTACATGTTATAAACTAGGTCAAGGGATGAAACATGAAAGTACATGTAATGGAAATCTCTTTTTAAAAAAGCTGTGCAACAAGTATGGGAAATAATAAACCAGTGCTGAAATATTTTACGTATATGGACAGCACTTTTAAATTAAAACTAGAGAAACATTTGTGTTCAGAGACTGATTCCATTTCTACTGCTGGAGACAGTTTCAGGTTGATCTTCAGCATTTCAAGTGTCCTTATGTCCAACTGCTTAGAGTTTGATGGGAGAGTCAAGTACTTTTTCAGTGGTATCCTGTGAAAACAAAGAGCACTGAGTTATCCCTTGCATGGATAAAGGTTATATATTTTTTTTCTAAATACCTCTTTTTATAAGCTGGCACAGACATTGCTGTCTCTGTCCTTTAAAGTGACAGGCCAGATTTAAAAACAACACAACAATAACAAGCTGTTTGGCAGGGGTGTTCCCCAGGGACTGGTGCTGTTTAACATCTGTGTCTGGGACATGGCCAGTGGCACTCGGTGCACCCTCAGGAGGTTTGCTGGTGACACCAAACTGTGTGGTGAGGTGATGTGCTGGAGGGAAGGGATGCCATCCAGAGGGACCTTGACAGGCTTGATCGTGCAAACTGCATGAAGTTCAACCAGGCTCCAGGGAGACCTTAGAGCACCTTCCAGTGCCTGAGGGGGCTCCAGGAAAGCTAGGGAGGGGCTTTGGACAAGGGCAGGGAGTGATAGAATGGGAAGGAATGATTTTAAGCTGAAAGAAAGGAGATTTAGGTTAGACATTAAGAGGAAATTCTTTGCTGTGAGGGTGGTGAGACCCTGGCCCAGCTTGCCCAGGGAAGCTGTGGCTGCCCCATCCCTGGCAGTGTTGAAGGGCAGGTTGGATGGGGCTGGGAGCAACCTGGGCTGGTGGGAGGTGTCCCTGCCCATGCAGGGGGTGGGACTTGGGTGATCTTTAAGGTTCTTTCCAACCCAAATAATTCTATAATTCTATAATTCTATAAAACATGAAGTTTTAAATTTTAAACTCATAAAACTAAACCAAAAAACATAAATTTATTTCGTGTGCATTTAGCCTTCCAAATGACTTGGTTAATGTTTTTGACTGTATTGTAAGAAAAGGTTTCTTTTTTTTTGCTGTTGTTTTTGTTCCTTTTTGCCAGAAATTCCTAGCAATGTTTTAGTTTCCTTTTGGTGTTTGCTTGTTGTTAGAGGTTTATTTGCGCTTATTAATCCATTAGCCTTAATTAGAAGGAATGCTTCAGGCTGGAGTCTCTTGGCTGTGCTTTCCTTTGCCTGGGGAGCCATGCGAGGCTGTGACCCAGGCTCCCTGGGGGTAAAGGCAGGCCTGGAGATGGGAATCTTGGGTGCAGGTGGGTGTTCAGACACCCACTCCCCCAAGAGACATGGAGTGGGCTGTGCTCCTCAGCACCATCCTGCCTCCAGAGCTGCTCCCAGGGGCCTTCCAGGTGCTCCTTTCGGCTTCTTCCCTTTCCCCTCCAGCCGGGAGCAGATGAGCAGGGCAAAAGCAGCAAAGCTGCCTGAGCTGTGCATCCCTGTCTGAGGGGCTGGAGTAGGGAATACAAGCAACTGAAAATGCACTAGAGCATTCAGAATTTAGGCTTTGTTTCTATTCTTTCTCAGCAGCCTTTGCCATAATCTGCTCAGCCTGCTGACTCCAGTGAGCTGTTTTGGAAAGACCTGCAGGCATGGGGAGGGCAGCGTGGAAATTCCCCAGCACATTGTGTCCTTGGTTTGGCTGGTGCTTTAACAAGTGTTTGTTCACCCTTACAAAGTCCTCTTTGCAGTTTTGATTTTTTGGAGGATTAGTGCTGCTGCAGTTGACAATGACAATTATTCCCACCCCTTTTCTCAGGATTAGCCAGGCAGGCACTGCACACAGTGTGAAGTACCAAATGAGAAACATAATCTAAGCAAGCAGAGAGAAGTTCAACTAAGGTGCCACTGCACTGACAGGGTATGAGTAGAGTGTGGTTGTTAATAGTATTTGTGCATCCAAACAGGCTCTACAAACCCAGGATACACTAAATGTGTGAAGATAACATGGAATATTGTTACTTAGTGTGTAAACATCCATTGCACTTATACAGTTTAGTCTCTTTTTCTGTTAGGGCATTTTGTCTTTGCAAGCTGAAGACATCCTTAGATCAGTATTGATTGAAGCCTGAAGTCAGACCTGCTTTTACTGCTTCAGTTGGACTTGATTTTCAGTGGGCTGAAAGAACAGCAGTAAGGGGATGAGGTTCTTGTGCTACAGGCTTCTTAGCTCAGCTGGGCTGGTGTTCCTGTGCCCAGAAAACTTGGGAAGCACTGTATGCATGTGAACAGTTATCAGAAACTCTCTGCTGTCAACCCATGTCAAGACTGCCTTTGGTGAAGCTTGTTGTTGTGCACTAAGATGTTTTTGGTGCCAGTAGCCAAGTGGGCCAACAGATTGTAAGTAATTTTTGTAGAACAAATGTGATTACTCCAATTATTACAGAGTTAGCACTCAAGCAAAACTAAGTCTATATAAAAAAAAGTCCTGACCACCTAAGGCTGAGAAGCAAAGAGGAAAAACAAGATTAATGAATTAGTGCAGGTCAGTTCCCTTGTTTCACTGATGTGGAAAGCAGGTACATGTGATGTATAAAAACAAACTTCCTTTTGGCACAGCTTCCGAAGGAGACGGGGCACACTGCTGGGCCAGACCCATGTACCCACTGCTCCCAGCTCCCATCCCTTCCACACACAGCTTTCTGACCTGTTGGCTGGTCTTCAGCCTGTGGTAACTTAGGCTGCTCAAAGGTGGATGCAAGCTGTCCTAAGACTGCAAGCCTAGTCAAGTTAGGGTTAGCAGGGAGAGAGGGAGGGAGCTGCAGCATGTGCTCAGGAGCTGGCAGCCCATCCTGTTTCATTCCCATTCTGCTCCATCAGTACTTGTGTGATTATAAAAGCACAGTGTCTGTTTCCAGTTCTCAGTTATTTGATGGATATAGTTACCTTGGCAGGAGAAGGGTGCTTGTGTATAGGACGGAGAGCACATATCCTTAGGGAAACAAGTTGTAAAAATTCTTAGAAAAAATGTTGAAAATTAGCCTAGAAACACCCTGATAGTGGAGAACCTGAGGCTGGGGCAGAGCACCAGGCACATCTGGCACAGCAATGAATTATTCAGAAATCAGTACAGTCTGTTTTGAAATCCTGTGTTTCACATAAATAAGCTGCTTGTCATAGAGTCACAGAATGGTTTGTCTGGGAAGGGACCTTTCTTGGTCGCTCTGTCCAACCCCTGCAGTGAGCAGGGGCATCTTCAACTGGATCAGGTTGCTCAGAGCCCCATCCAACCTGACCTTGGATGTTTCCAGGAAGGGGACATTTACCACTTTCCTGGGCATGTGTTTTCTTGTGCAAGATCTGTAAAAGACAAAAATGCTTTATAGGGGTAAATATAAATACCTTCATATCTCAGCTGCACTTCTGTGTTTTGTTTGCAGGTGCTAGAAACGTTTGCTGGACGCCTGATTAAAATTGGAGTTCTGGCAAGGCGGGACATTCCCAGCCTTACCAAGTACCAGATAATTCTAGCAAGAGATCAATACAGAAAAAACCCATCTTCACAAAACATGGTAAATGTCTTTGTTTATTTCATCTTAGTAAAGTAGTCATGCATAGTCATGCTTCATAGTATACCAAGTTTCCTGCTACAATGCAAGTTAGATTTCCTTTGTAACATTCTATTTTTGGCCCTGGAATAAATTTTGCCCACTCACTCCACATCTCTTAATGCTAATATAGGAAAATTCAGGTAAAGAATTCCCATTTCCAAACTGAAATTGATTTGAGAACTTTGATTGTAAGTACTGAGAGCCAAATTTACTCTTTTACCTCAAAACTACTTTACTGTAAATTGTCATGGAGTGTTCAAATTTTGCAAATTAAGAAGTATATTACCTAAAAAACCAAAGACAGCTGTGTATCTTAAAAACAACACTGGGAAGCACTTCACAGTAGGCAAGACAACTTTCCTGACTTACATTTTGTACCCTGAGTAGATGTGCCAGAATTTTGCCAAGTACTGAGAGATGGCTCAACTGTCAGATTTTAAGTGTCACTGCATCAGAAAGTAACGAGCTAATCTTGGCAGATAATAGAGGTATTTTGCATATCATTTTGAAGGTGGAAAAAGATTGCCTGCTTTATCAGCAAGAATTGTGGAACCTGCTCCTTGAAGAGTTTGATAGCCAGACTACTCGCTGTGCATTGCTTTGTCCTTTGGCTCTGCTTCTAACATGTCAATCTTATTTTTGTCATGAGGATTGCAGTGTGATTCC